ACACACACACACACACACATGCATTTTTTTTTTTATTTAAATTTTTTATGTTTATGCTTTTCAAAGAAGTCTCTAATGTTCACCAAGGCTGTAAAACCAGTAATATTGTGAAATATTACTACAATGTAAAATAACTGTTTTATATGTTAATATCTTTTCAAATATAATTTATTCCAGTGACGCAAAGCTGAATTTTCAGCATCATTGCTCCAGTCTTCAGTGTCACATGTCCTTCAGAAATCAGTCTAATATGCTGATTTGCTGCTCTATTATTGGTGCTCAATCATAAATAATAATTATTATTATTTTTGCTGATTAATATTTCGTGGAAACCATAATACTTTTTTCAGGATTCTTTGAATAGAAAGTTTAAAAATGTTTTTTTTTTTTTTTACTTTTTGATCAATTTAAAGAATCCTTGCAGAATACATTTAAATTTAAATTTAAATTTTTTTTTATTTAGTTTTTTTTCTAATTTCTTTTTAGGAAGGCAAATGGCTGAAACCTTCATAATATTGTTTCCCTGCCTAAATTAAAAAAAATATTTTTAGAGTGCAGACATTTATCGTATTTTTTTTAGCTATAAATGTATTAGTCTCTGCACCTAAAGCTGGTTAATGCATTAATTAAAAAATTGCACTTACCCAAAAAATGTTTCCACAAAAATGTTAAGCAGCTAAAACTCAATATTAATAATAATCAGAAATGTTTCTTGAGCAGCAAATCAGTATATTAGAATGATTTCTGAAGGATCATGTGACACTAAAGACTGGAGTAATGATGCTGAAAATTCAGCTTTGCATCACAGGAATAAATTACATTTTAACATATTCAAAATGAAAAAAAAAATCTTTAAAATTTTAATATTTCATAATGATAAATTTTTCATCAAATAAATACAGCCTTAGTGAGCATAAGAGACTTCTTTCAAAAACATGGTACATATATTCTCACACACACACACACACACACACACACACGCGCACACACGCACACACAATAATAATGTCTCATACAACTTCCAGTTTGGATTTAATAAACTGTCCATTTCAAGTTTTCCTCAAATCTCCCACCCGACTTCCAATATCTGCTATGGAATGAAAACTTATATGAGGTACATGGATCTCATCACAGTCTTAGCAATGAAGCACAGTTGTTGCGTAGCTCTAAGAGCATTGATTGATTAAGGCCATCAATCTCTGTGGTCACAGGGCCACAAATCACTATGATTGGTTAGTGTGGATATTAGGGTGTGCAATTACAGAGGGAAAGTGTACGGTTTCACAACACTGACAATAAGAAAGAGAAAGGCGGGGGCTTGGTTACAAAACACCTTGGTTAAAAAAAACCTGGACCCAAGCCTGAGAGAAATTTATAGAGAATATCATAGAAAATTTGTGGTGGACTCTTTTGACTTGGACCAGTAAGCATTCATCTAGCAACCACCCAGAATACCGAAGCAACTGCATAGCAATACATTGGCAAACGCACACAACTCCTTGGCATCATGACTGCTAGATTTGCAAAGGTACCACTCACTTTTTTCCCCCAGAAAATGCAAAAATCAAGCTTTTGATATTGATATCATATATTCTAAAATTTATACCACTCAAATTTCACATGCTTTAAGTAAAATCAGACATTCGAACCTTTTAACATGCTAACATTTTAATGGTTGGAAAAAAAAAACAATATATACTGTACATAACATTTTAAAAATATATAACTTTAAGCTGAAACACTTAATAATAATAATAATATTTAAAAAGAACAAAAACTAATAAAAATTGACAAAAGTACATACAATTAGCTATATAAAAATTTAATTAATATTAAAAATGAAAATAATATTAAACTGAAAACTGATCATATAAAAAAAATAAAAGCTTATTCAAAATAGTAACAAAAACGTTAATAATATATAAATAATGCTAAAATAACAGTGATCCTGATATTATCTCATTTCAATATCAGATCAATACTATAATTTTTAAAAATAAACTACATTTACAAAAAGAAACTACAACAACACATTTACAAGAATTTAAAAAATACATATAAACATACTACAATTTTTTTTTAATTACTGCAAAAACTATAAATAAAATAAAATAAAAAATCAAAGTGCTGTACATATACACACACACAGACTTTCCGAATAAAGCTCTTTTTCATGCAGTTAAAGGTGGCTGACAGAAGCACAAGTGAGCTCCCACCTCGTCCCTGTCTCCCTCTCCCAGCAACCCCGGCAATGCCACTGTTACCATGGAGAAAGTCACCACCTGATTTGAGGTCATCTCAAGAGCATATGGAAAAGCTCTCTCTTGCTTTCTCTTTCTCTCCCTCTTTCTCAAATCGATTCAAATGATAAAGGCAGGAAAAAGACATATTTCTGAACAGACTTCTACAACAACATATCCCCATCTCATTTTATTACAAATTCACATATTTTCCTTTCACAACACCTGGCTTCACCGCAAAAAGACAAACCAACTACCACCAACAACAGCAATTAAAGTCACTCCGGCAGCACATAATAACAGCGAGGCAGTGTGAATGATTCACACCTGATGTGCACGCTCACATTTCCATCCCAAACATAATTACACACATGCGGCTGTGTGTACACACATTCATCCTCAGTCCAGCACGCAAACACACACACACACACACACCGGTGCATTATGTAAACAGAGCCACCTGGATCAGACAGACAACATCTACTACTCACCACGTACTCCATGGTGCCTTTGGGCCTCTGGAAGGATATCCTCCGCACATCTTTCCTCTCCAGCGCACTCTTTTTCTGCCCGGTGTCTGAAAGTAAACGAGGGAGAGCACGGGTTACGCTAGTCATGGTCCTCCTCTCTCTTCTCATCTCCTCTGCGCTCCGCTCGGTCTTGTTCCCCCCCACCCCTTGCGTTTGTTCGTCCGTTAGCACCAGCCGTGGAGCGAGCGAGAGAGGGCGCTTGTTGTTAGTCCGCCTGCCCACTCCGCTCACAGGGGAGTGGCTCTCGGCTCTCGCTGCCGCTGCCATGCAGGTCACTGTGTGCTTGGATACACCTCTCCAGCTCGCTCTACTGGGACATCAGGCTCGGCTGTGAGTCTAAGTGTCCTGGTGACAAGAAAATGCCATTAAGTTGTGGAGCTGTTTTGTGAATGGGTTATAAATGTCATTTTTATGAGCATATTTATGTGGGGATCTACTGTGTGCCTTGTGTCAGCTGATGCCATATGTGAATGTCTGAGTTTATAGCACAGCAGATTTGATTCTGATATTTAGACATGGCGAATAAAATAAAGGTGATTTATGCTTGGATGATTAAAATCTGCACTTAACGAATAAAATGATGGGATATTTTTTAAACTCAAGTTTATTGGAAAAATCACAACAATGTGGTTCCTCATTACTTTTCTGGTTAAAGGGGTCATATGATGCTGCTAAATGTGTATTTGGTGTAATGAAATGTGTTTATGCGGTTTAAGGTTCAAAAAACACATTATTTTCCACATACTATAAATTATTGTTTCTCCTCTATGCCCCGCCTTTCTGAAATGCATCGATTTTTACAAAGCTCATCTGTCTTTTTTTACAAAGCTCATTGTCCGAGACAAAAACATTAAAAACTCTTAACTTTTATAAAGAATATCTCTTTGGATTTGAGACTTTAGTCTTTGCAACTTTACAGATCTTCTTTATGCACCAAGAGCTTGTAACACTCCAAAGAGAAAGGAAAAATTGAAATCGCATCATATGACCCCTTTAATGTATTAAAATGTAAAGTAACACTTTAGTACAGGGACCAATTCTCACTATTAACTAGCTGCTTATTAGCATGCTTATTATTAACATATTGGCTGTTTATTAGTACTTATAAAGCACATATTCTGCATGACCATATTCTATATTCCTAATCCTACCCAATACCTAAACTTAACAACTACCTTACTAACTATTAATAAGCAGCAAATTAGGAGTTTACTGAGGCAAAAGTTGTAGTTAATGATTTGTTAATGGTGTAACGGGACCTTAAAATAAAGTGTGACCAAATGTAAAACAATAAAATGTGCAAACTTGGATATAAAATATGGATATCTCTTGTCCAAATATAACTCCAATTTTGTTTCAACTAAAAATCCATCATAAAAACATGGCTTACTACATTACATATTAAAGTTGAACTATATTAAAGTCTAAACAAATTACAACTTTTATTGTGCATAATTTTCAATCAAGCTGTAATTTTCTCAAATTATGCAAATATTTAATTGTATTTTGTAAAGCTAAATGCTTTTTTAAATTTTTGATTAAATTAACTAGTTGAGTGTGGAAAGTGTGTTGTAAGAGAGTTTGTTTTCTAACACCACAGGACTGAAAGTGGCCAATGTTAAAGAAATACTATATATATATATATATATATATATATATATATATATATATTATCAACACTAACATATATAT